GGCGGAGGCGGAGGTGGGCGGGAGGTAGAGCGGGGGCGGGAGCAGGCGGGCGAGCAGGCCGGGATTGGCAGAGGCGCGAGCGGGTTCGTGCCCGAAGGGAGGCCCATCTGAACTTCTCCCTCTGGGGGGGGCCTGATGCCTCTGTCGGCCACGGCCCGGCTCTGCTCTGGGCTCTGGAGGGCAGCGGGCTCCCGCCTTTTTAAGCACAAGAGACCGTTTTGAATTTAAGTCAGTCCAGGACCTACCTCAAAGGCAAATATCCCTGCTCCCCACCTCCGCTGAGGCTGCACCCGCCTCCCTCTGTGAGATGGGGCATAGGGCAGGGGGCAGAGTAACGTCAGTGCTCCCATGCTCTGGCTACCCCGCTCTGCACAGCAAACAGGAGGCTCCAGGGGGGTGCTCTGGGCAGGAGCAGCTGAAGTGCAGGCACTTGATAGCCTCCCAGCCAAACCAGTCAGCATCACCTGTCAGAGTTTCCAAGATCTACCAGTAGATCCTGATTTACTGGTTGGTGACCACTGCTGTAGGGAGTAAGGATACCACTGCTCATGCCCCACAGCAGCTGAGCATCTGGCTGTGGGGCAGCTGCATCCCTCTGCTGTTGGTTGTTCACTGCCAGTTTCCCACACCCTGGCTTCTGCTGTAGCAGCCAGCATCCTCACTGCCTCCCAGAAGGTAGTCCCCATGTGCAGGGCTTGACAATTAATGTAATCTACTCGCCCGTGGAGAGTAGATTTTAGCCCGGCGCGGCCGTGCAGCGCAGCGCAATCAGCGTGCTTGGTGAGCCCTGCCCATGTGTACCAGCCAAGCACCCTGCTGGCCCAGCCCAACAGCTCCATATTAGAGCCAGGCAGTGCTAAATTTGTAAGGAAAGAGGTGCTAGGGCTCAAATTATTTTTGTACTTTCATAACTGAGGCAGCCAGCCCAGAGGTGTTGGGGCTATGAAATGCCAAGCCCAGAGCTGCCAGGGCTCAGCCCCTGCAAACCTTGGCACAAATTAAGTGCCAGAGCCAGATGATGGTTGGTGTCTGTACAAGTATCAGAGGGGTCGCCGTGTTAGTCTGAATCTGCATAACCAAGTAGAAGTCCTGTGGCACCTTATAGACTAACAGATTTATTGGAGTGTAAGATTTTGTGGGCAAAGACCCACTTTGTCAGATGCAGTGGAAATTCCAGAGGCAGGTATAAATATACAGGCACATGAACGGGAGTACCAATCAAGAGGAAGGCCAGAGATAATGAGGTCAATTCAGCCAGGGAGGATGTGGCCCGCTTCTAGTAGCTGATGTGGAGGTGTGAACACCAAGAGAGGAGAAACTGCTTTTGTAGCTGACTAGCCATTCACAGTCTTTGTTTAATCCTAAAGTGATAGTGTCACATTTGCAAATGAATTGCAATTTCTCTCTGAAGACTGTTTTTGACGTTTTTTTGTTGCAGGATGGCTACTTTTAAATCTGCTACTGTGTGTCCAGGGAGACTGAAGTGTTCTCCTACAGGTTTTTGTATGGTACCATTCCTGATATCTGATTTGTGTCCATTTATTCTTTTATGTAAGGACTGTCCAGTTTGAGGGGCATTGCTGGCACATGATGGCATATATTACATTGGTAGATGTGCAGGTGAATGAACCAGTGATGGTGTGGCTGATCTGGTTAGGGCCTGTGATGGTGTCGCTGGTGTAGGTATGAGGGCAGAGTTGGCGCCGAGGTTTGTTGCATGGATTGGTTCCTGAGTTAGAGTTATTGTGGTGTGGTGTATAATTGCTGGTGAGAATTTGCTTCAGGGTGGCAGGTTGTCTGTGGACGAGGACTGGCCTGCCTCCCAAGCTCTGTGAGAGTGAGGAATCATTGTCCAGGATGGGTTGTGGATCACCGATGATGCGTTGGAGAGGTTGTAGGTTGGGACTGTAGGTGATGGCCAGTGGTGTTCTGTTATTTTCTTTGTTGGGCCTGTCTTATAGCAGCAGGCTTCTGGGTACACATCTGGCTCTGTCAATCTGTTTCCTCATTTCCTTGGGTGGGTATTGTAGTTTTAAGAATGCTTCTCACAGTCTGCTTTGGCCGTAACTATCTTGAGCAGTTTGGTATCATCTGCAAATTTTGCTACCTCACTGTTT